CATGCAGACCATCGCCCTTGCTCCCTGCGCGTCTGCTGCAGACAGAGGTGTGAGCACCGAGGGGCCAAAGTGAGAAAGGACACACAATCAATAATCATTTGCGGCTTTGCGAATCTGAACGGATCGATCAATGACGTTATCAAACCTCGCGAGGGCAATGAGGGCTTATTTGACCATACGCACGCTGATGCTGAACTCTCAGCTGCCCAAGACGGATCTGCTGATGCCGCGGCGGTGATACTGTATCCAGCAGAAGAGTTAAGGTGCACAAAACCCTACTGCTTCAGTGCGTTAAACTCTGTATGGTAACTTCATCCTTCCACACTGGAATACAGAGTCAAGTGTAAAATAGACCATAACGAGCATCTCTTTGAAGAAGCACATCATCAACGAATGTCGAAGCAATCTTATGTTATATATGAATATGAGATCGATATCTATGATATTTTCGTAATTCCCCAAATGACGATGAAGCAGCCGATCTAAATGATTGATGTATCTCAAAGTACACAAAACAATAGTAAAAAAGAATTGATGACTTCCTGTATATTGACACCGTTGTGATATCCTATACCATGTATCAACGGCAATGCTGGCATTTAAACAATTTGTACATTGCATGTTGAAATATCAAAAGTCAATATCTTGTATACACGCTACTGCCAAATAATGGAAAAGAAATTGAAACAGATTATTGGTATAGTTATCCATCCTCATTCAAATGTAACGAGCCTTTTGTAGTGATAAACCAAGACATTGCACAATTGTAAAAAATTCCAAGTTGATTACTTAATCCTGTGTTGTTACAGTATATACATTAATGCGCTATGGTGCCAGCGTTATATATAGCTCCTGGTGTTTTTTTCAATTAACAATTTACAAGTTAATGCATCAGGTGTATCAAAACATCATAGAGCTGCGTTACTGTATTGTCTCTAATTTTTCAGATAAAAAGTCTACTGTTGTATTGGAAATACATACATAGTTGCCCACTATGTGAATTAAACTTGCTTTATAATCATGCTGCAGTTGTGTTGATACACCTTCCTGTGCACAAATGCACATTGTCTGTTTCCATTAGGCCATGTTGATTAGATTATATGGATGCCATCCGCGCGCGCATGAATTTTCGTCTGTTTCAAACAAAATCATTTCAAACGTACTGTACGTTAATCGTACAAAATGAGCGAATTTATGTCGTGTGTTGCAAAAATGTACATGTATTGGAAAACGATGCTAGAATGCCTAACTCAATTCAGGAAAAGAAGAAAATGTGAAGAAATGAAAATGAAGAGTCTATTACTATTCCCCATACCATACGCTGTGTGTCTAGTCATTTGTTCAACCTTTATGACCACGTAGATTTCATTATCAAAGAGACTTTTTTGCCAAACCTTTTTTCGCACGCTCGCGTCAGTTTTGGGGTTCCCAGAGGATGCCATCCATATAATCAAATCAACATAGCCTTATTGCTGGTCCCATGGTAGATTTAATGTTATAGATATACATGTAAGAAGTGTTGACATTGGCGGCATGTGGCTGAATAATCCAGTTCCTACCACAAACACTGGAGCTCATCAAGCGCTACTGAGTGGTTTTTGCGTTGCAATGCAATCATCGTATATCGTATGCTCCTCGTTTCTGTGCGAATTTATCGACAATCTCAAATGAGTATGAAATAACCATTCCGCTCTCCAGAAAGTATCCATCTTTTCTACCAATTGGGAATTGATTGTTTTTCAATTTCCGTCGAATTTTCAGCTACGCTGACTTTATCGTTTCCTACATAGTCTGATCAGATACCCGTGGCGACTTGAGGAGATTTACCAGATCCTGCTTCCAAGCTCTTGATGAGAAAGTTGCTGGCGAGAACGGCGAAGTCATCAATAAGAAAAAATATTAAGAAGAATAAGGACCAAAGCCTGCTTGCGACGGTGTTGCAATCTTAATACACTGTCGAATATGTTTTTGGCTTCATTTTGTACGTCTTACTAAAAGTAGGGACTACCTTGTATGGTGCTATGGCTGCAGCTAGTTTGCGATGGAGAAGTGACATCGCAGAATGTATTGCTATATCGCGAAATACATCATTACTAAGATGACAAGGCATATGATTTAATATGCCAATTTGTGGCAAACTCTTCAAGGCTTACGCAACGAAAGGTGCCGGGGGTCAAGTCTAATATCAATTACATGTTATAAACATCATATGAATCAATATGTCATGTTATAAATCATATCAGAGGCGTGCCCGAAACGATTTTTGGGTTGTAACAATCTCGGCTGCATTTACAGGATTGCCTGTCAGGGCGGTCAAGGTGAAATCGTACTTGTCATTATTTGATTTAGGTCCTTTTGGGCAAACTGCATCTGGTTGGGTTTTTCTTTGTACAGGGGTGCAAAACTGCGTCAATGTTTTATGAAATTTGATTTATTTATGTAGACACTTTTCTAAAAAAAAAAGGTTTACTTCTCTGTAGAATCTTTCCTCTGATCTATAGGTACACTTTGTATCTCGCATTTAAAGTGAAGAAAATAGACATGTAGACCATGTGGAGGTAATTGTGATTTCTTGGCTAAGATTGCGCGTTCCGATTGCTTTTTTCTGTAGTGCAGATGATCGATTTGCACTGGCATGACGAAAGAGTGCTATACGTGCCATTCCGTTGGTTGTTCTATCAACTATACGAGAAGATTCATGGCGGAAATACTTTTGACTAGTAGAGCTATGGGCACCACTCCAAAGTCTGATCTGACATTTTGTCTTCCTTCCCACTTCCAGACACAGATAATAAAGTAGAAGTCATTTGTATAGAGTACCTTCTAAGACTTGCTTTAGTCTGGAGTCTAAACGCCGTAAGGAATTGAAAATCACGTATATATTTTTCTGACATTGGATCATAGGGGATCATGGCAAATAGAGCAGAATGGCACTTACCGTGCGCAGAGGAATTTACGCAAATGTCTCCATAAAGGTAACGGATAGAAGCTTAGGGAAGGATAGTTCATTCCCATGGGGAGATTAGTTTACGCTTATGACTGGTCTAGACCATAACCATATGGGCCATCATTATCCAAAGACACCGGGAGCGCCCAGAGCAATAAGAAGGACCAAGATTTGAATTGAGTGTAGTCTGATCCATCCATTAAACCTCCAAGGCAAGCAATCTCCACAACATGCCATAATATTCTCCGTTCCATAATCCCGCTGCATATACACCGTGCCAAGATGGTCACAAGTACAGGAAATGCATCTCAAAGCTGCAGTGAGTGATAAAGAATATTTTAGAACTGCCAGACATGACCGAGGTACTTTATGACGGATAGGGATGTTTTAAAAATCATTAGGGAATCTAACAGCACTGTGAAGACTGTATTTACTGTCAAAATATATAGATTGCCTTGTACTGATGGCAGGTTAACTTATTAAATAGCCTTCAAATCACAAAATTATTCAGTTTGAAAACTTTGACAGCAATGTACTTTTTTTCGAAATTTCAGCATATACGTTAAAGATCACTGTTGTCGAGACGATCAGAAAATGAAATATGCATATGCCATATGGGAAATTTATCTATGTATGACCCCCACTGATATTCAATTCCATTTACACTGACAATTTTGCGACACAAGCGTACGAAATGATAACTTTGTCTCTTACCGACAGATGTTGCTTATTAATTTGGAGCAATATGTGCTCAATACACATTTATGTTCTTAATACACATTACGTTTCGCCGAAATCCATATTGATTTCGAGAACAAATCATATCCAGGGCTAATGCTTTAGAGGTAAACGTTATAGATTCTACGTAATCCTGTCCGAACTAAGCGATATTTTTGCATTATACCGTAGGTTAGAGCAGGTATGTCACTATGATCCCTAGTCAAAACCGAGATTAAGTCCGCCCTACAATATGTAATCTTTTGCTGCCAGCATTTGAAGTTCTTCTAATGCAAAGCTCCCTTGGTGGCCGCCAAACAGTGATTAAAGCTTTCTCAACTGGAGAAATGGGCATTCTATTTATCCTCTAAACCTTAACAGTGCATTTAAGTACTCTAGAATCTCCTGCTGTTCACAGTGGGGTGATACAATCCTCCGTACCGAGATGATTTTATGATCTTACGGAGAGCGCATCGTTGTTAGGTGATCAGCTACAAATGTGGAGGGATTTGGTACGTCCCGTTCTACCGGATACAAAATCCTATATTATACAAACATACATACATGGAGTAGAAATACTCCTAGCTACCATGAAATTGCTCCGATTCCCAGGACATTTTTGATAAGGGTAAACCAGAATTTGATGAAGTGGGGCCATCTTTCACTCAAGCCCGGTCGCCCTGTGGTTAGGTGTGCGGACCGTGTGTTTAACTGCACTATCCACACGGCGTGCACCCTCCATACATGCTGAAATGGTCTGCCCTACCATTCCGCGTTGGCCTTTGGAGTGTCCTCATTGTAAGTGTCCAAGCGCACGAGTTAAATCTCCTAGAAATGTAAATACGATTATAAAGGAGTGGGATAAGAGAGAGCGTATATATCGATCTGCGTTCACCCGTTCTCCCAAAATGCCGACAGAAATGTCAGGCAGGTTGAAAGAATTGCTATAGCATTTGTTGAGCTGGGAGGGTTGGGAACTGGAAATGCCACTGCTGGCAGTACAGCCTGAAATAACGTTGACCTGGACGTCAAACTGGTTTCAATCACAGACAGCTGGATGGCACTACCCAACGTCTCTCATTGGCGTGTGCGCCACGGAAACATCTGGGCAGAAATGATCCTGATAATACTAGGCATCCCTTATATCCAGTGACGTTCACTCACATCCAGGCACTCTCGAGGCAAGGCAGGTCCACAGAGGGTCTCTCTCGGTGGCAGGGGGAGCACAAGGTACGGGCGAGAATCAAAATGTCCGTCTTCATTGGGCGAAAAATTGCACAGCCTGACACTTCATGCCTGAGATCTCCCATCGGAGCACCATTCCTCAGCGCTCTGGTCTGCGTTTGGCCAATTCTCTGGATGGGTGAGTGTCGCGTTCTCTGATTTCACACTGGTGGGACATGAGTATTTTTCAAATGGTAATTTTCTCTGCGCGTACGAGGTGCAAGTCGGTCGCTTTACTAGTATAATGCACGCTTGTTAAGTTCTAGTATTATGCACTTATTTTTTTTCTACTACAGAGATCGTTGTTGGTATAACTATCGTGGATGTTCACACTTTTGAAGATTGATTAACGTTATGCGTGGTAGAGCAGCAGAGGAGTAGGAATTTTTATGCCATTAGAACATATATACGATGTGGTCGTGCTTGGTGCATAACAAATAGAGGGCAGGGGGAAAGTTCAACGATTCACACATGCAACATTGATATTGATATGATTTCTTGAGCACTCAGAACATGCGGACGCACTTGAAGTAATGAATCGTTCAACGTGTCGAGGCCCCAATATTCCACGGTACATGTATATATAAACATGCATGCCTGCTTCAGCCTACTCACTATGTCTACAGCTAGTGTTGGCCACATGCCACCTGTACTGTGATGTTTTGAAATATACATGTAGCGTGTAGACCAGCCACCGTGAGAAATCCGAGGTGAGATCTCACTTGAACCTTACTTTATAGATAAAAAAGGTTAGGGTTCGGGTCAGGAAAAACTTTTGTGTGCCCTTGACAGACAGGCACTTATATTACTTCACAGCTTTTCCACTTTAGATATGTCCTCCACCGTAAACCTTGGTACTTACCGCGGTACATACTGGTAACTCGGCCGGGACCCTGGCGTATACAACCGTCTTAGGACTTTATTACCTGTGTGAAAGGCATAAGTTATGACCATTCAGGTTCAGATGCGGTTTATGTTTCATAGGCAAAGCCCTCGTATTATTTGTTACTTGAAACCACATACACATCGCATATTTATGAAGCCTCTAACGTACCTATTCACATACAAAAAATTACATCTTCTCTATTGCCACATAACAGAAGATGGGGATATATAAACTACACGCGATACATTCGTGTTCAGATGATGGATCGCTACCGGTTAAGTAGGCAGGTGCTTTATACGACCTGTTTTTTTTGTGTTCTATTATTATATGCACTTACTTTTCTCTAAGCCTAGGCGTGATGTCGCTCTAATGACCGATGATCGCAATTCATATCGGAATATGAAAAACTCCCAAAGGACCAGCGGTGTGGTCCGAAATGGGGGAGTGGCGTTTTACGCGAGCGTTACCAATCTTTCTTTCGCGCGGCCAACAGTATCGGATTTTTAAGAGGGGATGATTTGTTTCGGTCAAAATTTAATTAGGAAGATTATAGAGGTAGGCTGCCACTAAAAGGTCAATCAGTGAAGAAAAAGGTCGTTTTCGTTTCTCTCATTTACGACTGGGACAGGCATTCCAGACGCAGGCTCGTTTATCGCAAGACCGGAGTTGGTGGGTGATAAATGAAGATGAAGCTTGAAAAGTCACATAATACCCAGAGGACTGACCCCAATCTCTATCGGAGGTCCACAACGTACAATCCTGCATTGCAGACAACTTGACACAAGGCGAAAGAATTACTTTCTGGCATGACAAGATAATTTGCACATTTCTAGCACCTGCTGTTTCAAATGGTCGCGTTGCTCTTTACGAATAACCCCGAGCCCTTCGGCCTTCAGCAGCGGATTGATACTATTCATGATGAGGGTCTGGCCACATAGGTAACACTTCGGTAATTTATTTTCAACTGTCACGCAGTAAGTCAGTGTGCACATGATTTATACTCATCGTTTGCCATTTGCTAACATACACCAGGGTATAATTTTTCAGAACAGAGTAGATTCGGTCGCACTACATTTCACGATGCATATACCTACATTTCATTTGCTTTTTAATATTGTACCAACTAGTAGCCTAATTATGTTACTTTATTTCAAATTTCACGTATATATACTTAAAGCCGTAGATGTTTTTGACAATGCACTAAGCAAGACATTAAAAATGACATTAAAAGTGAATAGATGAAGCGGTTGTAAAGATTAAAGAACTTATCTTGTTCACATAATCGAGAGATCGCCTGGATTCTAGCTATTGTTTGGATAAGAATCTGACTCTACCGATGCAGGTTGTGTGGTACTGATAGTTGTGTCCAGGAATAAGTCTATAAAGCTGGTTGGCTACAGACCCGTCCTTTTAAAGGAGCATTGCAGTTTAAGCCGGCTGCAAACCCGTAATACATTTATCCTCTTGCCTGTTTGAGATAGCATAAAGATCTTTGCCTGTGATAGAATGGCCAAGATCGGAATGATAAATAAAGTGAGCAAAGTCCTCGGGGGCCATTAAAATGCAATCCTGCACACCATCTCTTCCTCTTCACAGCATTCTGGGTCAATTTTAGCTGAGTGCAGTCGTCAATTCACCAGAAGCCACTCCTATACACTATATTTGATGCCGCAAGGTAGTGCTGTTAAAGAAACTAATGCTGAAAAAGCCTGTAATAGCGAGCAATTGCAACAGTCATTCCCGGAGATGAAACACTGGTCTGTGAGCTATTCTTATCCGCACAGACAGTAATGACGGTTTTATGACCATCAGCGGGGCAGGACGGACAGAAATCAATATTTCGATTGCTCTAGCCAACGGCATCGCATTTGCAAAATAGATAACGCCATCTCAATTGTCTACATTCTCAACATTTCTTTATCCGTTTACCGGGATTTCAACAAGCCACTTACTTTGTTTTCTTGCAGCAGATCGTAATGTCTACCATGGGGAGATTTGAATCGTACATAAAGGGTGATTTTTACATGGTGAGCCTTACTATAAAAGTTAAGCCATAGCTTTTACGGCACAATTTAGAGTTAATCCGAAGCAATTTTATTGATCACCATATGGACTAATTGGGCGAGAGTAAGTCATATATAATATAGTGTTCATGAATATTCATACCCTCTAGTAGCACATTATCTTTTCTCATAGGAGAACTTGGCTATCAGTTTGGTTTAAAGCGACCAAAAGAATGGAATGATCTTTTGTCAACTCTTACATTTATCTTTTGTTTACTGTTCATGAGTACTGCTGATAAAGGCAACTTTAATGGACTTTACCTCTAAGCCTCTTGCTGAAGGTGTGTAGTGTCGTTGTTTAGTACCATTACATTTCTCGCATGGATGATAACCTTGGACATAGACGTGGATAAGTTACTACATTTACCTTTCTCTTAGACTTGCATCCATGAATACTTTGTACAGTATATGCATGATCCTTAGGTCAAGAACAGGCAGGGATATATGACCATGGCTGTAAGTGAAGAAAGAACATTAACAATAGTAGACAGAAAAATGCCAAAGTTTGCAACACGAAGTGAATGCTGAAAAAATAACTGACGTCATTCTGTGATTGAAATTTTGTTGTTGTTGCATGTTCTCACGGAAGATCTCTAACTTCTTAAAATTTGAAGGGATTTTGAATATGTTTTCTGGTTACACGTTGACTAAAGGAATGCCTTGATATTCTTTTGGGATTCTTTATCGCAAGCCCTCTGTGACACGAGTATACATGTTAAAATAAAGTGAAGGAGAAAGGAAAATGACTACTTCTGTGTATTGCAGATGCCTATAACACTAGCTAAGGGCTTACGTGGCAGGTTCTGACGAGAAAAGGTGACCAAGGTCACAGATAAACTAAACAGTATTCCTCTGACATCTAGCAAAGGCTAATGCCATCCATTTTCGAGTGAAAGGGTGAGGCAGGTCACAGTAGTGAGTGGCAGCATACTGCCCCTGCACAGCCTTAGAAGTACGCTTCCTTGGCTGACAATCTAGGCCTGAAACATGGGAAAGGCCGCCACTCAGACATAAAAATGACAGGAGCTCATGTCAACACAAGATTATATTCTTGCGTAATCGCAGTTGAAGACCATGTCGGATCTCTCTGAACCTGATAGCTTCCTTGTAGTAAATATACAGAGAATGATGTTGATTCCTCTCTATGTTTGACCCAAACAAGCAATAGGTAGTGACCTAAACTAGGTTGAATACGTTATTTAACGTTTACCTGCCGCGGCAGGGACACTACATAATTTACAACCGCCTCCCCTTGGACCCACGAGATTCAACAAGACGAATCACAGTACCGTATGTACAGGTCACACTACAAACGATGAGGAATCTGTGGGATTTGCACTCTACTTGCTTAGTGAAAACATATCGCTCTTGTAAGCAATAAGGATGTGGCCAGTGTTTCGTGATAACTGTGCTTTATGCATAGGTCAATCCCTGGTCTTAACAGCATGTTTTTCATGATCAAAACAGTTGCTTACGCCGAGCCTCATCTTTCAATTCAAGTGTGAGTAAAATGACATACACAAAAAATGATGTGCCTATCTGTTTGGCATGGGGGTCATTTTTACAAGTTGAGTGAACAAAAATAACGATAGGTTAAATAAGATATCAACCGACTACAAACAGAAGGCATGCTACATGTCAGGGCACGAAGCAAGTGTAAATTATTCTTGACATAATCTGGAAAAAATCGATACCCAGACAGACGTCAATAATGTGTCTAAAATAAAGTATAACCAAGACGACACTGGACTGATCATATCTAGTTAATTTCGACATTTGACATTATCTTCAACATAACTATTTTGAAGCCCACGAATTGGCATTAGATTTGAACGAATATATGTTTGCAATATCAAGATACCCCAGCTAGGCTCTCCGCAGCGTTGGGTCAGACTAATAATAGCTTTTATTATTATGTCAATAAAGTTCAGTTGCTACTGATGTCAGCGATGATGAGGCATTTAAAAAATCTACGACCATAGCTTTATGATCATCGTTTATGGTTATGAATACTACATAAAACACGGACCATTCAGGAGCATATACGGCTTGGACGTATCCATGGTGGCTTTATATGTGTTGTAATAACACTTTTTGTTGGAACATGGAATAATGGCGACGGTTTTCCAATGACGAAGTTTGATGTTATCAATGTCATTATCAAGGCTGTCTGGTCGGTGTCGAACAGGG